TGCCGAGGTGCCGTGCTTTATTGGTTTAGGGTTTAGGGTCGAGGGGTTTAGGGTTTCAGGGTCGAGGGGTTTAGGGGTTTAGGGGTTTAGGGGTTTAAGGGTTTAAGGGTTCAGGGTTCAGGGTTCAGGGTTTAGGGGTTTAGGGGTTTAGGGGTTTAGGGGTTTAGGGTTATAGGGTTTAGGAGTTTAGGGGTTTAGGGTTTAGGGTTTAGGGGTTTAGGGGTGCAGGGTTTAGGGGTTTAGGGTTATAGGGTTTAGGAGTTTAGGGGTTTAGGGGTTTAGGGTTATAGGGTTTAGGAGTTCAGGGGTTTAGGGGTTTAGGGGTTCAGGGTTTAGGGGTTTAGGGGTTTAGGGGCTTTGGGGTTTAGGGGTTTAGGGTTATAGGGTTTAGGAGTTTAGGGGTTTAGGGGTTTAGGGGTTCAGGGTTTAGGGGTTTAGGGGTTTAGGGGCTTTGGGGTTTAGGGTTTAGAGGTTTAGGGGTTTAGGGGTTATTGGTATTAGTATTACTAATCATTGATATTGGAGGAGCGAAGGAGCCAGGGATGATGATAGTGTCTTTGAAATAAGGAGCTAGAGAGCCAAGGGAACCCCGAAAACCGCTGGTTAGTATCATTAGTGGTTCTTTGTTATTGCTGTTATAATGATGATGATTATTATTAGCATTGTTAGTACTCATATTGTCATTTTTTGTGAGAGCTGTTCTTCTTTTGAATCCGTTTGTCATTACTTCTACTACTTGCCATCACTATCTATACTTTTGCGATGGTAATCACTATCGCTTTTTCTAGAGGGACAGCCAGTGTTCCTGAGCGTTCCTTGTTAATATGATTACTTGGAGGTTCATGGGTAGTTATAAGTGGGGTTATAAGTCCCCTAACATGGGTTATAATTACAGTTACCCTACTTACAACCCCACTTCTAACTACCCATGAACCCTAAACCCTATACCCTTATAGAATCCCTATAGATCCCTTTAAAGGGGCCCCACTTATAGCTACCCGCGAACCTCCAAGTACTCCACATGAAACTCCTGTGTCCAGTGTCTCCAAGTCCCTTTAACGTTAACATGGGAGTTTCCGCAAATAGGGGGACCCTAATATAGCACCCGACGAGTTAGCAGGATCCTTATCATAAGGACCCCAAGATAAGATACCCCTAACTTTCGGAAACTCCCATATAGGATTGTGCCTCACAGGGCTCCGTGTATTCCTTAGTTGTGGGCGAACCCTTACAATCTAAACTAAACGAGGTCATCTTTCATGATGCATGGGCATCTTCCTTACTTAAACGGTTATGGACCCCTCAAAACCCTAAACCCGACGAAACCTGACACCCTCAACCCAAAACCCTACAAGCCCCGTAAGCCCAAATCCTAAGCATCTTGAGAACTGCGGTTGATGATAGAAACTATAAGGAATATACCATAATTCCCATAGTTTAGGGTCCTTAAAGGTAATGCAGGGCTTATATCATCAACAGTGCCTCCGACCAAAGCTTCCCACCTGGATTCCAATACCGGAGCCCTACGACTATACTCGGGTTAGGTATTTATGTTTTGCTGGGAGGACCCCTGAACCCCTGAGCCCTAAAACCCTAAAGGCCTAAACCCCTGAACCCTAAGATCCTAAACCCCTAAACCCCTGATCCCCTGAACCCCTAAACCCCTGAACCCCTGAACCCTACGAGGATGGCGCGGTGTGGATCCCGGCTTTGTCCGCCATCGGCGCCGGCTTCGCGATTGGCCTCGCGGCGATCGGCTCTGGTGTGGGCCAGGCCTGTCCCCAGGGCCCCCTTCAGGGGTTTGGAGGGCCTTTAAGGGCTCCTTTTAGGGATCCTTCAAGGGATCCGGATCCTAAAGAGTCAGGGATTATTGGATTTAGGGATTATAGGGTGTAGAGTTTAGGGTCTACGGTTTAGAGTGTTTAGGCATTAGGGCTTATGGGGTACAGGGTTTAGGGACTAGGGATTATGAGGGTTTTAGGGTCTATAGGGTTCAGCGTTAAGGGTTGTGATCTGGAACAGCGGCAAAGATACGTAGTCGTCATGTCGAGAATGGCGGCGACGATACAAATGTTGACTGTGATGGTGATGATGTCTGTACCTGTGCGTGAGGATGATGTCCCTTGTCATTGTTGTCCTTTAGCTATGCTGTCATCATCTCAGAATCCAATAGCCCAGAGACTCCAATATCCCTTAATAAAGGAATATTTGTTAAATCATACTAAGGATCCTACTATAATCTAAGGAATATTCCTTAATTAAGGGGCATTGGAGTCTTTAGGAGCCCTGGAGCAATAATTCTTCCCAGCCGCCGCCTCAGGATTCGTGATTCCGCCCCCCCCCCCACACACAGGGAAAGACGAAGTGCTAAAGCAAAGTTTCGCCCTGCTCCCAAACCCTACCCTAAGGCTCCATAGTGGTTCCTTTTTTGGGTTCATATTTAGAACCCTATAAGGTATCCCCAAAAAGGAACTACTTTGGAGCCTCTGGGTAAACCCAACAAGACCGTAAACTCTAAACCCTGCAGCTCTGAAACTTTGCACCCTTGGCTTGAGGGCATCGCGAGTGGCCGCTGCATTGATGGCATCTCGCGCCAGCCGGAGGCCAAACTGGGCACATTGGCTTACTCTGAAGCTGCAGAACAGGATCATATTGAACTGCCATCCATGCATTAAAGCATGCAGGCATGGGCATGCACGTATTTATACATACACAAGCCCCACTGCGCAATACCCTAAACATATTGGTGGAAAATACTTTTCCCCAATATGTCTAGCGGGGGGAAAATTATTTTTCCCCAATATGTTTAGTGCGTCATCTTCTTCTACGGATCGGTTTTGGGGGGTTGCGATTTTGGGGGGAGCTGAGGTTTTCCAGATCGAAGCTTTGTAGGTCTCGAGTCTTCAGAGTTTTAGGGTCTGCTTATAGGGCTTGCTTTTTTGGGTATGTGTGTGTATTGAGGTGATATATGGTTGGTTTAGAGGACTCTTACATGTTCAGGGCTTTCCGGTTTTTGCGAAGGTTTCGGGCTCCGGGTCTTGAGCTGTAGGGGTGAGGAGTTTGCTTTAAACTTTCTTGGCTGTGGTCCGGGTATTCCGTTGAAACTCGTTCAGTTCGAATGGCGAAGGCCTCGTCCATAAGGGGATCCTCAAAAGGAACCCTTAAGGGGATACCAACAGGACCCCTTCGAGGATCCCACAAGGTTTATGAATGTGGCAGAGGTGCGAACATTTGTCTTTCGTGCCCCCAACCGAATCCCAAGCCCCCAAAGCCCTGCTGTTCTGATGGCGTAGACAGTCGCGGAAGCATGCTGTTTTGGACTCGCATGATTGAACCTGATGAGTTGCACAGGATACTCGCAGGCTATCCTTTCTACGGTTGCCCCCTTGGTTGTTAGGCCTCGGGAGGGGTGAGTAGGACCGGTCTGGCAGGTTGCGGATGACCTCCGGGGCGTGCTGTTGCCTGGCATTTTTTCACCCAGTCCGTAGGCCGTACTTAGGGGCAAAGAAGCAGGCGGACTGAAGCATGTTAGTGAAGTTCAAGGTCGTTTTTGAATAGCAGCTTCTCATCTCAAGGCACTCTAGGCCGCCAGTCTAGACTCCACGCCAGCCTCCATGTGGGGCTACCTCAATAATCCCTTCCCCCTAATATTAAAGGGTCGGGCCCCCCCCCCCCTTCGCCCTAAATAAAAACTCGAGAATGTTTTTATAATTAGGGGACCCTTGTTATCTCAACTGCCAGAAACACAGGTTCTACAAGTAATTAAATGATGAAAATGATGACGATGAAAATGATGATGACGATTACGGTGATGCTTGTTATGATGAAGATGGCGGTAGTGGTGGTGATGGTAATGATGACGATGATCATGGTCCAGGAAAAGAAGATGATGATGATGTTGTTGTTGATAGTAGCAGCAGCAGTAGTAGTCGGAGAAATAGCAGTAGTAGTAGCTTCAGCTTCACTCGCAGCGAGGAGAGTCCTGTCGCCATGCGTCGGGAGTGAGCAGGCATTTCGAACGCCCGGAACCGATTGGCTCATGATCAATTTTGATCATCTCAAGAGAAAGTCAGGCATCGACACACACCGTTCCGAAGAACCTTAGTGTTTAGCATGTGCGTCGCCAGTGTGTGCCAAACCTTCGTTTGAAGGCGAGGCATGAGCAGCTCTGTCGAGGCAGTAAAAGAGAGCGTATCCCGTTGCAGTAACATGTGGTCGATCAGCCTTCCCCGGTTTCACTTTCACTGCTGCTCTGCCATCGTCACAGCCCCACAGACACTCATCACTGACCAGGTTGGCCATATAGTGTCCTGATGTCGGTGTGGCACCATGATGATCGATGAATGCACTGAGCTTGTATGCTTGATGTGAAAGTCGGTGCCTGCTCCCCGAAAATAAAGGCATCTGGATCACAGGGTCCAGTTGCACCTTGAGGTGATTTTTGAGAATTCGATCACTTCGTTGCTCAAAGCGGTGAAGTTGAAGCAGAATCACCGGGGGCGCTACCGTCAGTCCCTGTATCGTGTCCAAACCCCTGCACCAGGTGTCCACCAAGGATTGAATCCTGAGTGAGGTGGCGGATTTCGTAGGGTAATCGGATGGCATATGCAGGATGATCGACTGAGTGCATTGGCCTGTGTCCACAAGCTGCATGTCCCCCGCCATGGAAGGTGAACGTGCCTGCCATGAGCCTTGAAACAAACTGAAATCGTTCTTATTTAAGAGATGTGACAAGAATTCGCATACATCATGTTGACGATGGACCTCGCCCCAATCATCGATCAAAGTTTGCCACCGAGGGTCGTCCGTCAGCCTGCATGGTGAAGAAAATCGGTGTGTAAGGACTTCTTGAAACAGCGCAGCACCTACTCCATTCAGCAGCATACTCGGTATCTGCAGTCGTTCCATAAGCCAAACCAGGACCTGAAAAGTGGAGTTCATGTAGCAGATCGAGCTTTGGTTGAGCAAAATGAGCTGGGTCGCTGACTGAGGGCCCGGATCTACCTCCGGCCATAAATCATCTCTGCCAGTCGCTGCTCGGCAGGCCCTCTTGCCAGGCTTTCCGTCTTGTAGGCCATTCCCGCAAGTTGGAAAACTGCATTCCCCTGCAACATCTTCATTGTATCCCACATTGTCAAAGCACTGTGACTGCGGATCGACAGATCTAGTTTGAACGTAGCTGGGCTTGACATTGTTTCCATAAGTTTCCGCGTGCAGCGGAACCGGTTGACAATGGGCTGGCGAAGACACTGAATGATGGTGGCCAGATGGTCGAGTAGCTTGTCCTCCGGAATCGGTGGCCGGCTGCTGTCTTGCTGGAGCTGTTTGGTCTTGTGATTCCAAACCTGGTATCTCCAGCCTCCTTGGGTGTCTCTCCATCCTTGGTCCACTACCTTCTTCAGTCTTTCTTGCGAAGCTACTGTCTGAGTCAGTCTGTCGGTGATTTCCTTGAAGAGGGCCACCGCCAAAACCATGCGAAGGGGGCTTTGGCCTAGCTGCCATGTTGCATCCTGATCCTGTTTGGCCTTGAAGTGCGCCGCTACCTTGTATAGGTGATGAAGTACGCTTTCCTCCCCTGGGCGTAGAAAAAGCACCAGGGCCGTGTCTTGCTTGAGAACCTTCAGCTCTTCCTGTTGCTGCAAGACCGTTTTTGCCAAAGTATACAGCAAGGGGTCTCTGTTGTAGTGTCGAGGAGGCGGAGCTTGGAAGGGATGTCGTCTCGGGTCTGGGTGTGGATGTGGAACCGGTCTCTGCTCGCCGAATGGGTCCCTCCGTCTTTTGTTTCCCGTGAAGGTGAAGGGGCTCTCTGCTGGTGCTTGGCTCCACGGAGACGCACTTGGCATCATTGGTAGGTCCACTCCCTGGATCTCTCCAAAGAATTCTTCCCAATCCTGGTCCCCGAAGGCCATGTTCCTCGTGTAGCACGCAGAGAAAAGCACACTGCCACAACGTGGTACACTTGAGAAGATGTGCTTTCCAGTCCTTGACTCGCCTGTGGCAGAAATGGCACTGTATGCACGGAGTAGCTTTCTGCTCGATGAGCTTGAGGGCTTTGTGCGCAAGCTGCTGATAAAGATGCTTGTGTGTGTGCTGGTAGTGCGTCTTAACCACTTTCTGCGAGGCTATCCATTGTCCACATAGCGCACAGGACTGTTGCATAGAAGCCGTGATGCTTGTTTCAGCAATGAAGGCATTCAATCCTTTCTGCACAAGAGAAAGCACACGTTCCTGAAAAATCATCGGTACAACAGGTGTTGGCACTGAGTCATGTATCCGCTCGATCTGAAGTGTGGGCTGAGATGACATACCTGATGAGTGGGCTGGTGCACTGGTGACATGGTCTTGGGAGTCATTCACGCCGTCTTTTTGCTTCGAACCTTCTTGCATGGGTCCAGGTCTGGGCGCTATGGTGTCGGAGGTCTCGGCATCCTTCTTTACCTCGGTGTGCAACATGTTCTCTCGAAATGGTTCCTGATCCGGAGTCTTCTCGGGAGTAGGCAGCGGAATCTGGCTTGCCCCAATCTCTGTCAAGTCAGTGGTTGCCTGCGTGTCCTTCATCGTCTGGGCAGTGCAAGCATCTGTGTTGATATGTATTTCAAGGGACTGCCATTTGCTGAAGCGTTTGAGACATCCGGAACACTGAGGGAGTCCACCGACGGAGTGCACGATGCGGTTGAAGATGTTCTTTCGCTGCGCCACGATTTTGTGTGCACGCCTAGCATGGGTTTTGAGAGCTGCCTGCGAGACAAATTGCTCTGAGCATAGAGGGCAAGCCCATATGGCTTTCTCAGTGTCTGACTCTGGTTCTGTCGTCTGAGCAGCCTCGAGCAGAGCCTGGGAGATAGAGTGATTCCACTCTGAGTCCACAAGCCAGTCGGTCGCTGTTGCTTGTTGTTGATCTCGTTCATGTGCTCGCTCAAGTAAGTCTTGTGCAGTTTGAATGCCATATTTAGTCATTATATCCTCATGCGTGTGCCCCGTACGGAAAGCCTGGTCCGAGACAATGGCCCGGATGTGGCGCATGATGGCCCGCTGAAGCAGACGTATTTGGCCTGCACCAAGACATAGGCTGTGGAGGGCGTACAACATTGTGGAGAGTACGCAGCTACGCCAGAGATTGAGCTTATACGGAATCGAGACCTTTTTGGTGTGGAGGACCGACGCCAGCGACCATCTTCGATTGTGAGCCTTGTTGATTCGATGCTTGACAGACTGTAGCTCAAAGTTGTCATAGGAGATGATCAGTCCTAGATACTCGGCCTGGTCCACCAATTGGATCCATACAGTAGGATCTCCTGGGGAAAGAAGCAGTCTTCGTTCATTACCGTGGCAACGAATGTAGTGTTTCTTGATGTAATGCTTCATGTTGCCTGTAAGTCGAAGAATGGCCTTGGTCTTGGTCGTGTTCACCTTCATTCCCAGCCGCCTGAAGACAGCGATCACTCTATTCAGCTCACTGATGGTTTGCTCAAAGCCGTAAAGACTATGAAAGGTCCATTGTAAGTGCGTGTCGTCGGCGTACATCGTGGAGTGGTCCGAGCTCCATTTGTCCTCGATGCGCTTATCAATTGCTTGACTGAGGAGAGCTGTGAAGGCAGCCCAGAGCACTGGGCTTGCAATACATCCCTGTCTCAATCCCCATGATGGCCAGATGTCCTTCTCCATGCCTTTGTGCTGAAAAGTGTAACGAACTTGGCTGAGCCACTGAAGGAGAATTTCCTGGATACTGGGATCGATTTGTGCCAATTCTAACGCATCTTTAATGGTAGCCCAGGAGACAAGATCAAACGCTGCAGAAAGATCCATACTTATCTGGAGTCCTCCATAGTTCCTGATGGGTTGCGCTCCCTCCTTCAGTTGGTGAAGGTTCACTCTGTGTTGACTGCAAGCCTCTCGCACCTTTGCACAGTGCTTGTAGACTCTCTTGAGTGCCGTAGTGGTGCTCCTGTTGGGTACGTATGCACACTGAGGCCACTTTTTGACAAGATCATGGATTTGGTCCTTTGCCTGTGCAATGAGAACCTTCATGATGCTTTTGCCCACCGGATGCTGTAGGCCAATTGGCCTCCAACTAAGGGGCGTGTCGTTCTTGCCTGTTGGTTTAGGCAAGAGAGCCACTGTGGCATCGGCCCATTCTTGTTGTACATGTAGAACCGGGGAGCTCCATTGTTCGCATACCTGTTGAGAGATAAAGACTGAGACTTCCGCCGAACAGGCTTTCCAAAGTACTGAAGGAGCCATGTGAGCAGGAACTGCCTTGCGAACGGGCAGATGTTCGAGTTGGTGCCATACCTCTGCTGGTCCAATGTGTATGGGATCATGTTGTCTGATGTGTGCTTGAGTTGGTGGGGCTCTGGCTCCGTACCTCTCCCCGAACTCTTCAATGATCCAGTCAAGCTCGGCTTCAGGAGTCATCATGTGTCCGTTCCTGCACAGCTGCAGCTTTTTGCGCTTCGTCTTGGGGGCCAAACTTTTGACTACCTCCCAGATCTGGAACATATTGTTGTTCTCGGCTGCTTGCTGGGCCTTCAGGATCAGATCTCTCCGCCAAGCTTTACTGCGGTCTTTGGCCCTTTTCTTATGCTCTCTATGTGCCTTAGAGAACTGAGACCATTGCCTCCATGAGTGGAAGACGCCGGTCAAGCTGAAGGAGTGTGTTCTCATCTCACGGAAGATTGCCCACATGTGACGAGCACAGTGAGACAGTTGCATATCCGCCTCTTTGTGGGGATCATCAGCTGCACGTTTTGGATAAAGCTCTTGTGCTGCTTGTAGTAGTCCTTCCTCGAGTTGTGGGAGTGTGCTCCAGTCGCCATCTCGAATGCCTTTATTGACACTGTGACGCAGGGAATTGAGAGCCTGCGTGGGTTCCGGCAGCTTGAGGTCCTCAATGATGTGGTTGATGTCGATCCTGGGGCTTTTGTGGATGGGTGGTGCTGAGCTTGTGTGATGTGGAATGCGAATGTAGGCCTGTACAGGGTGATGGTTTGCTCCCTCTCTCCAGCTTGCAACCGGGAAGTGTGGCACAATCGCTGCCTGTTTGGCTTGACTGTTGGCATCCGCTTGTCTACATATTATGTAGTCGATCTGAGATGCAAGCGTGCCGAAGGTGAAGGTGGCCAGCTGATGATGCTCTGGCCTGTTCCAGGTATTCAAAGCTGTGAGGCTATAGGAGATGAGGATTGACATGAAGTCGTTGTTGTCCTTGTTGTGTGCCTCGCTAGCAGGAAGCACCCACTTGCCACAGACCTTCGGGGTAGTGACACATGTAGTGTTGAAATCCCCGGCTAAGATCATGACGTGGCGGCTGGGAATTCCGCTCAGGGCGTGCCGAAGTCGTAGTAGATATTTGTGCCTGCGTTCCGGGGTGAGCGATTGATCATTCGCTGTGTACTGATATACATTCAAGATGTCAATGGGCTGGTGCTTGTTGACTCTCACGTGTAGTAGGCGGCCCGGCCAGATTTCGTGGTATTGCAGTTCTGAGCTTGTTGCCACCTTGGTGGAGACAATGGTGAGGACACCTCCTTGTTTATCTTCTTTGTTGTGTCCTGAGGAATGCACGAAGTGAAAATCGGGGGTGCTCCAATTGGCGTCGTAGTTCCAGTGTGTCTCCTGCACAACGCAAACATCGATTGCTTCATCTGCAAGGTAGGTAGTTAACTCGCGGAAGATCGATGCATGTAGTCCGCCTGCATTCCAGGTGATCATCTTGATTGAACGACCTTTGGGTTGTTGAGGTCGATGCCTGTGCAGAGGTTGCGTGCGAAAAGACGTAGGCTGGAACCATTGATGCTGTCGCCAGATGCCTCGATAGAAGGCTCCACCTTCGCGGCAGGACCTTGCATAAGCTCTCTTGTAGCTACGCTTTACACATCTGGAAATACCTGACTGTATGCCCGGGATTGCGGCATCCCATGGTCCCACTGGCTTTGCCTTGACGGCTTCAGACGTCCTAGTGGGATGAACGTCAACCCTCGCGTCTGTGCTCACTGATAAGGTAGACTGGATACATGCAATGAAGATCACCAGAGCAAGTTTGGTGTGGTGATAGCATGTCCTGTGAACACCGCCGGACTTGGGACTGGCGCAGCTGGGCTTGATTCTCCGTGAGGTGGTAGTTGATGTGATTGCTGTACCTGAAGGTTCCATTGCATTTGTCTGCGAACTCAAATCTTGTTGGCTGAAAGCACTGATATCATATGAGACTGCCTGCAGGAGCAGAAAGATCAAGAAGATCTGGAGAAACTGGGTCTGGATGTCGCGAATGTTGTACCTTTCCAGATATTGATTATGATCCAAAAGAGTCCAAGATGTACTGTAATGTAAGTCACCCGCCGGCTGCTTTGGAAGGATCATCAAGTGGTACATGGCTGTGGTGCGGAACTCACACAGTATCCGTCTGAAAGTTCTGTAGATCCTGTGTCCAGGGCGTGCAGGCATCCCTCTAGCTCTCCTTCTCCGATAGCGCCTGCGTCTTGTTGGGCAGAAGCGGAATCGCCATCTTCTACATGTTCGCCCCGGGCAGTCACGACCTCCTAAATGTTGTGGGATCAGGTCAGGGGTCCATCTGGTTAAGGTCCAGCAGCGGGGGCGGTGGCTCTCCTGCAGGCCAGAAGCAAGGTAGCCAGCTGGGGAACTGTAGTCGTACCCATTTGTACAGCTCGTATTCATCTGGAGGAAAAGGTGATCTCCTAGCTGCTTGCAGTGCCCGTCCAGGGTGGGAATCTGCTGTCCATTCCATATCCCATCTGTTAAAGAAGGTAATATATTCAGAGTAACCGCCATGGGCTCTTGCTTTTGCCAACATGAGTTGGCCCAGTGTCGACAGAAATTGCAGTCGTTGACGCGGCCTGGCAAACAGCTCCCTGGCGTATGTTGCTTCCAAGTCCACTGTAATCTTGTTGTGATTCGGGATCCAAGGGTCAAGGTCCGCGTCTGAACGTTCAGGTACAGTTGTGCAGCCAAGCCAACTCGCCATATTGTTAGTAACAGCAGCAATGCAAACATTAGCCCTCGCTGGGCCTGTTGAAGCGTGAGCCGGAAACTCTTGGATTTCCCGTGAACACGGCTACGCGCTTTTGATTGCAGCACAGTGGATACGATGGCTGGCCAAAATCTACCTTCGTCTCACGCCTGGGGAGGCCTTCAGCCGAGACGCTTGCAGTAGTAGTAGTAGTAGTAGTAGTAGTAGTAGTAGTGGTAGCAGTCGCAGCAGTAATTAGCAGCAATCGCAGCGGCAGCAGGAGCAGGAGTAGTAGTGGTATTGTCAATAGCAGGAGTAGAACATCCGCAGCATCGGCGCCAATGGCGTTTGGGCACAGGGGCATGGGAAAGTGGGAATGGGTGGGTTTTGGTGGGTTTGCGCGGGTTTTCGGCGGGTTTGGTTGTGCTCTTGGCGGTTTTTGGTCATTTCAAATTTCGATTCTGGATGGGGAAAGGGCCCACGGGGACACCGCCAGAATTGGGCCTGCGACCGTGCCCAAATCCCCTAGGGAGGCAGCCGCCCGCCCCTAGAACCATCTGGCCATGGCCTAATGGGCCTCCAAAGCCCTCCTCGGGAAGGTCGTGGGCTCAATCCCCGGGGGTGTCATTTGGGCCCTTTCCCCACCCGGAATCGAGATTTTGGGGTGACCTGAAGCTCTGGGCTCTCTGGAGACTTAAGAAACGCTATTATAAGGGCTGCAAATCACACCAAATCCGTGCAAATCCGTGCAAATATACACGGAATCCGTGCAAATACACACTAAATCTGTAAACACGCATTAAAAAAGAAGGCTTCAACAAAGGCTTAGCTAATAAAGCTTTGAATGCGGCTCAATTGAGCAGTTGCTGAGTCATGCAATTGTAATCCTTTGGAAGCATCGTACCCATCCACGTGCTGGTGATGTGACGGTTATGATTAGGAAACGTTCTTTTCCATGCTAGTAAGATTCGTATCTGAGTTTCATCATGAATTGTTGTTCCGACAGTCTGACGGCAGTACTTTGCTTAATGATGATGAGGAGGATGATGAGGAGGAGGATGAGGATGAGGATGCTTATAATGATAATGATGATGTCGATGTCGAAGGTTTGGAGGACTACTACTACTGCTGCTGCTGCTGCTACTAGTACTACTACTACTGATCCTGCTGCTACTACCACGACTACTTGTACTATTCCTTGGGTAAACGTCTGCCTCCAAAGCCCTCCTCGGGAAGGTCGTGGGATCAATCCCCGAGGGTGTCATTTGGGCCCTTTCCCCACCCGGAATCGAGATTTTGGGGTGACCTGAAGCTCTGGGCTCTCTGGAGACTTAAGAAACGCTATTATAAGGGCTGCAAATCACACCAAATCCGTGCAAATGCACACTAAAACCGTGCAAATGCACATTAAATCCGTGCAAAGACATACGAAATTCGTGCTAATACACACGAAATGCGTGCAAATACACACGAAATGCGTGCAAAGGCTTAGCTAATAAAGCTTTGAATGCGGCTCAATTGAGCAGTTGCTGAGTCATGCAATTGTAATCCTTTGGAAGCATCGTACCCATCCACGTGCTGGTGATGTGACGGTTATGATTAGGAAACGTTCTTTTCCATGCTAGTAAGATTCGTATCTGAGTTTCATCATGAACTGTTGTTCCGACAATCTGACGGCAGTACTTTGCTTAATGTGATGATGATGAGGAGGATGATGAGGAGGATGAGGATGAGGATGAGGATGAGGATGCTTATAATGATGATGATGATGTCGATGTCGAAGGTTTGGAGTAGCCATTGCAGCCATCTCATCTTCCATCCGGTCAATGCACGCTCGCTCATTGTTGCGGTAGTGGTAGCAGTTAGCAGTTGTCGTCGTAATAGGAGGAGTGGTTGTTGTTGTAGTGATAACAAGAATAGCAGCAGCAGCAGCAGCAGGAGCAGCAGTGGTAATTAGTGGCAGTGGTAATGGTGGTGGTGGTGGTGGTGGTAGAAGTAGTCGTCGTCATCGTAGTACAAGGAATAGTACAAGTAGTAGTAGTAGCAGCAGGATCAGTAGTAGTACTAGTAGCAGCAGCAGCAGCAGCAGGTAGTAGTAGTAGTAGTAGTAGTCGGAGAAATAGCAGTAGTAGTAGTGGTAGCAGTCGCAGCAGTAGCAGCAATCGCAGCGGCAGCAGGAGCAGGAGTAGTAGTGGTATTGTCACTAACAGGAGTAGAACATCCACAGCATCAGCACCAATAGCATTTGGGCAAAGGGGCATGGGAAAGTGGGAATGGGTGGGTTTTGGTGGGTTTGCGCGGTTTTCGGCGGGTTTGGTTGTGCTCTTGGCGGTTTTTGGTCAATTCAAATTTCGATTCTGGATGGGGAAAGGGCCCACGGGGACACCGCCAGAATTGGGCCTGCGACCGTGGCCAAACCCCCTAAGGAGGCAGCCGCCCGCCCCCAGAACTATCTGGCCATGGCCTAATGGGTAAACGTCTGCCTCCAAAGCCCTCCTTGGGAAGGTCGTGGGCTCAATCCCCGGGGGTGTCATTTGTGCCCTTTCCCCACCCGGAATCGAGATTTTGGGGTGAACTGAAGCTCTGGGCTCTCTGGAGACTTAAGAAACGCTATTATAAGGGCTGCAAATCACACCAAATCCGTGCAAATGCACACTAAAACCGTGCAAATGCACACTAAATCCGTGCAAAGACATACGAAATTCGTGCTAATACACACGAAATGCGTGCAAATACACACCAAATCCATGCAAATAATTACACACTAAATCCGTGCAAATACACGCGGAATCCATGCAAACACACACTAAATCCGTGTAAAGACACACACTAAATCCCTCTAACTACACACCAGGTACACAGTAAATGCGTGCAAATACACACGGAATCTGTGCAAATACACACACTAAATCCCTGTAATTAGACACCAAATACTGCGTGCAAATACTCACGATCCGTGCAAACACACGCTAAATGCGTATAAATACATGCAAATACACACTAAATTCGTGCAACTACACAGGACGTGAGTGCAAATACACACCAAATCCGTGCAAATACACACGGAATCCGTGCAAATACATCTAAATCCGTGAATCCGTGCAAATACATACTAAATCCGTGCAAATACACACTGAATCCGTGCAAATACACACTAAATCCGTGCAAATACACAAATCCGTGCAAATACACACTAAATCCGTAAATACGCATTAAAAAAATAGGCTTCAATAAAGGCTTGGCTAATAAAGCTTTTCATGCGGCTCAATTGAGCAGTTGCTGAGTCATGCAATTATAATTCTTCCCCCTAAACCCTCAATCTATAGACCCTAAACCTTCCCCCTAATTCTAATTAGGGTTTAAAGGGCGGTGCTACTTCCGGGTGGATCGGGGGAAAAGTGTTTTTATAATTAGGGGTCCCTTTAGTAAAAGGGGGAAGGGATTAACCCTTGTAGTTCGCTGTACAGGTCAGTCGGGATTCAGGGATTTGGAGGCCCAGATCGCATCCCATGGCAAGAGCAAAGTTGTTGGACTCAAAATAATCCACACCGGGAGCAGAACCGGAAACTGCCGTTTTGAGCCCCTCTTCTTTCCCCGGACTCCGTGGGCAAACTTGAACTTGAGCTCAGGAGATTCAAGCTCAAGTTTGGCCACTTTGTTCTGAGCAAAATCACTTCTGGACAGCGGGGGTGGGGAAGGTGTTGGGATACATTATGCGGTATACCATCATTTTCGAAGGGAGCCT